TCTCTGTGCTTTTTCCTTGAGCCTGTATGAAAAGGACCGAGAAAATTGGACAACGAAGGGCTTCGCGTCCACTCAGATGGGTTTCACAGTGTTTCATTCATAGTTACATATTGCGGGAAAAAACCAAGTCTAACAATAATTTTGTATTTTACCTCTTCATTCGAAGAAAGAGATCGAAGAGGGGATACAGGTTCATTCATTATCGCACTAGACTCAAAATCGATCACACCAGTAATCTTAACCGTATTTCATCAATCATTAGAGTTTTTCGCAGTGGATTTGTAAGGAGGGAGTTTCCTTTCAATGTTTTTCAGTTAAACAATATCTTCGTATCTACGAACGATGGAAAGTGGCACAATCCGCGCACCATGGGAAGAAACAACGGCCAGGATGGTTCTCTGAAGGGTAATGGTGCAGGATTAGCCAAAGTAGGTTGCTCCCAGAAAATATCGATCATCAAACTGAATTATGAACTTTGGATGTTGGGCAGGTTGGGTTATGTTCACAAATATTTTTCTACCAAACTTGTATATTTTCAGATTTAACGCTTTCCATATTACAACTTTATTTACATTGCGGGCCTGGCACAGGCTAAAAGAGATCCTGTTTTCGGAGAGTAAAGGAGTATCTTAGTATCACTAAGAACATGTCGAAAATATTACTCAAGCGTATGATCTTTTATTTGATATCAATCAAAACATTTAAAACGCAACGTACTTTTAATTTTAATCCCGGGAGACCAGAGACCTTGGTGTCAAAACCTTCTGGTTACCAATAAGCCTGGAGTGTAGAATTTGTTGGTGGACTCAATCTTAATTTTGGTGACGTTCGAGATGTTAAATGATGAAATATTTGAGATGCAAAGTTTGTTCTAATGGGTCGATAGGTGTGTTTAGATGAGAATGACAACGTTGGAAAATAACGTCGCGCTTTCTTGTTCCAAAAATTCTCTTCTGATCGATGATCGCCATGGGCTCATGTAATCGCTTGAACTATCCAAACATGAATGAAATCTCAATGTCAATATCCCGGTCTGTTGACACGGATTTTCTTGAAACCAATAAAACAATTACTAAGACCGCAAAGATGTATATTTGAATTTCAAATATCGGCATCACAATTTGTCAGCCCACATCTACTATGCTGTTGCTCGCTTTCTTCCCAGTTGTTCACAATGCAAATTTAGTTTTCTACTCATCCCTTACTTCACTACTTGCTTGCAATTCGTAAGGTAATTTAATCGATGTATTAGCAAAGGTGAAACAGTGAGAGAGAAAGATAACAACAATACTGCTCCTACCA